TATACAAAGGTACTTTATTTTTTTATATGTCTAAAATGTGCATATTCATGAGTCAGTACTGGTTTCCATTTTATATTGCAAAGTCCTGAGTGAAAAGAATTGTTTGCTTTTTTTAATAGTAGAAACTAAATGTTACAGTTTATTTGTCCATGTTCATGATTACAGACATGACAGTGCAGGGTGGATAAACAATGCATATAAAGCAAACTTTCTGGCCAGGTGCAGTGGCTCACACCTGTAATCCCAGCACTTTGGAAGGCTGAGGTGAGAAGGATTGTTTGCGCCCAGAAGTTCAAAGAACAGCCTGGTCAACATAGCAGGACCTCGTCTCTATACAAAAAAGAAAGAAATTAGCTGGGCGTGGTGTCTGTAGTCTCAGCTACTCAAAGGCTAAGGCAGAAGGATTGCCTGAGCCCAGGAGGTCAAAGGTGTGTGAGCCGTGATCGTGCCATGCACTCCAGCCTGGGAAACAGAGTGAGTGAGATCCTAACTCAAAAACAAACAAACACCCCCCCACATCCCCCCCCGGTTTAACCACATGCAATCTTTTGGCATTTTTATTATGTGCAGGTTGACTTAATTCATTGTCATGGGTTGAAAGCCAGCAACAGTAAATTTTTACAACTTAGAATCTTCCTCCATAACCACTCTAAGTGTTTTAACTCCTGAGCTACATTGTGGGGTCAAATGGTGTTCACTGCAACATTCTTCAGGCTTTCAAGTCTTAATATGACCTCTCTTTCTAAGACAGGGAACTGTTAAAATCTGTCTTAGCTAACCCAGGCCACTAACCCCAACCATTAAGTTAGTATCTAAAAATAAAACTGCTCCCAAGCATTCATTGAAACTTTTGCTGTGAGCTTTCCAGTATAGTGTACCCAATGTCCTTCACAGCATAACAAAAGAAAGAGGTCAAGCAACCCTGCTCATCCTGTATAGTTTATCAGTATTTACATGCAGGGTAGCTTTAAGGCTGACCCCAAAAAGTCATTCAGTTATGCAAAGCAAGTGATAGTTCATCATCTTTTACAAGTGAGAAGAAATCATCAAAAAGGGGAAATAAAATTTTTCTCTTAGCCTCATTAAATCAATGAGCTATCTTCACAGCCTTAACTGATAACATCCATAGTCCTCAGTTTCCTGATTTGGGGAACCTATGTTCAAAGTGGCCATTATGGGGAAGAAGAACTTTCAGGCTCTTTATTTATTTATCTACTTTATTGCTTTCTGAACACACTGCTGTGAAAGCTTGACAAGGTGGTCCACAGATCCCCGCAGCCTTTCGCCTGGAGGAACTGCTTGGCACACCAAATTGAAGCACTGATCACATTCAGGCTTCATGTCAGTAAATGGCTTTTCCACACTGTTCCTAATGATGGCGGCAATGCAGCACTCTGATGTCATCATTTGTTCACTATTTTTTCACAGTTACATTCCAAATTCACAACCCTTCTTTTGAGACAGCTGTGTATATGCACTTCAAAAAACCCTCATGGTCAAATTTCAAATAGGGTAGTTATGGTCACTGTAGAGATGTTGCATTCAAGTAGTGGAAGAGGGTGAAAAAAGGCACTGCAGGTAGTGGAAACAGCCAGGGCACTGATAGATAACTCTGTGATAACAGTAAAATTCAGTGTGTTGGAGCTGAAAGGACCAAGATGAAATCAATATGCCCAATGAGCAGTCATTTTAACACTGCCTACTTTCATCATGTTTTTTTATCAGTTCAATTTAATTTAACCTCTAATCAACAGCCAAGAACAAAATCGGCTTCTCAGAGGTAGCTATTGGTAATTGTCCTACAACTCCCTCCCCAGCTTGTTTTTAAAGAAGTTAACCTAATCAGCCCTTCATGACACAGACCCCATCAACATGGCAACAATCATGTGACTAACACACCCATCGGGCCTGTTGTCCATCAACTGACATCAGTACCTGTGCCTACCTGCCCTTCCTAATGACGCAGAAAGACCACCACCTAGTCACCTTAGCCACTTGCCTCCCGCATCAAAGGGAAGGTTTAAAAGCATCCAACCTCTAGCAGTCAACCTGCCATTGTTTTTGTTAAGCCCTGGCCAGGTCATGTGTTCATTGAGGTATGGCCAGGCCATGTTTCCTTAGCTTTGGCCGCTTCCCCTACTGTAGGGAGGTGAATCAATCTTTCTCTCTCTCACTTTCTAAATTATATTTCCCAATCGAACTTCTGTGTAATTCTTTGCACCTTTTCCGCGGCACCAGATCACAGACGACCCCGGCATAGTCTGACCTAACATTTTGGTGGCCCCACCGGGATTGTGACTTGACAGGAGCCATTCCTATCATCATTTTTCCCAAGAGGTTTCGATTTTGGAGGAAAAAACCTTGAGAATCGGTGGGAACTTTCTTGGCCTGAAAGGTAACACCGGCAACAGGGGCAGCAGGGTGCCCACATTTTGCCTTTACATCTTTGTGGGGCGGACCTTGGCTGCAGTCCTCCATGACTTACGAGTCGTCAACTTGCCGAACCCTGTTGCAAGGTGTGCCCGGGGCAAGAATGTGGGCGTAAATACTGTCCCCGAGCAGCCCCTAGCCTCCTTAGCTTCAGTGTCCGATCAGTCAAAAGTAAAAGTTCGATAGGAAACCAGTGAAAGGTCAGCTATCCGCCCTCATTCAGGACAGGAGCGAGCAGCTACCGCAAGAAACGGCGAGTGTTGGGCGAACTTCCGCCCCGGCGCCTCGCCCCGCCCCGCCCTTCGGACACGCCCCCTCTGTGACAGGTCGAGTGTTGGGGCGGGCCGATCCGCGATTGGCCGGAACCGCGGCCGTGTCCGGTAGCGCCACGTGTACGTAGGCGTGGACCGGAAGCGCCCTGCTGAAGGCTGCAGCGCCGCGCGTGTGGGTGGCTGCGCGGAAGTGGCCGCCATGGAGCGGGAAGAGGAGTCCCTGTCCGCGCGGCCGGCCCTGGAGACCGAGGGGCTGCGCTTCTTGCACGTCACGGGTGAGTCCCGGTGGGCCGCTTCCCGGCGTGCCGCCATGTTCGGTGGGTCGTCCCCCGCTGCGCGCCCGCGAGGCCTGGGAGGCCTGACCGGCGGCCGGGCGTTGGCAGCGGGCCCGGACCTTGAGCGGAGGCCTCTCTCGAGCCGCACTTCCCGGGGCGGCGTTGGTGGGCCGTTGTTTGCGCAGGTCCTTTACTTTGTGTGCTGCAGGCCCTTCAGGCTGCAGTTACTGGGGTCACCCGTGCTTTGGCGTTTGCCTCTAGGGTCCTCTCTTCCCACCCACCCCTAACAGCCCTCGCTGTCGCCCTTTATATGTGGTTCTCTAGGTCTGAAAGGCGTTTGCCTTTCCGATAAGTTCCTCATCTTTCAAAACCCAGCTGCTGTACCCTCTATCCTTAGGACTGCCCCCCCTGCCTCCCCGGATAGTTGAGAAGTCTCACTCTCAGTAATCCCTGAATTGTGGCACTGTTCTAGTTCCTAGTTTAATGGTCTTCTTAGGAGGCCTTTTCCTCAGACCGTGAAGGTTTCGAGGGCGCTTTGTTGAATTTTATGGCGTAGTCAACTAGTAGTGTCACTTTAGTCTCTTGAAAACTGCCTTTTTTTTTCTTTCAGTGGGCTCCCTGCTGGCCACCTATGGCTGGTACATCGTCTTCAGCTGCATCCTTCTCTACGTGGTCTTTCAAAAACTAACCACCCGGTTGAGGGCTTCGAGGCAGAGACAGCTGGACAGAGCCGCGGCCACTGTGGGTTAGTGCCTGAATAACGTATGGGAAGGCGGTGGCTCCACGCCTCCTCCTTATTTTATTTGATCTTATTTTAGTAGGAGTCTCACTCTGTCGCCCAGGCTGGAGTGCAGAGGCATGTTCAGGGCCACCACAGCCTCCACCTGCTGGGATCAGGAGATCCTTCTGCCTTAGCCTTCCAAGTAACTGGAAACACAGGCATGTGCCATTATGTCCGGCTGATTTTTTGATTTATTGTAGAGACAAGGTCTCACCGTGCTGCTCATGCTGGTTTGGAACCCCTGAGTTCTGGCAATCCTCTGCCTCCACCTCCCAAAGTACTGGGATTACAGGCATTAGCCACCATACCCGGCTACTTCTTTTATTTTTTAAAAGTTAGTTTGCTACTAAGAATAAGAATTATTATGAGTTGGAGTCTCATTCTGTTGCCCAGGCTGGAGTGCATTGGCACACTCCTGGCCACCTCAGCCTCCACCTACTGGGCTCAGGCAGTCCTTCCACCTCAGCCTTCTAAGTAGCCAGAACTACAGGCAAATGCTACCACGCCCAGCTAGTTTTTTGATTTATTGTAGAGACGAGGTCTCACCATGTTGCCCAGGCGGGTCTTGAACCCACGGGCTCAGGCAATCCTCTCGCCTCGGCCTCCCAAAGTACTGGGATTATAGGCTTGAGCCACCACACCCGGCCGCTAAGAGTAAGAATTATATGATTCTTATTTGTATGGAGGGAAATATCATTTTATGCCCCTAAACTTGATTTTGGTGCAAGTGCACTTTTTTTTTTTTTTGAGTTGGAGTCTCACTCTGTTGCCCAGACTGGAGTGCATTGGCACACTCCCGGCCGCTGCAGCCTCGACCTGCTGGGCTCTGGCGATCCTTCCGCCTCAGCCTTCCAAGTAGCTGGAACTACAGGCGTGCGCTACCACTCCCGGCTGATTTTTGATTTATTGTAGAGATGAGGTCTCGCCAAGTTACTCAGGCAGGTCTCAAACCTGCGGGCTCAGGCAGTCCACTCACCTCAGCCACCCAAAGGCACGGGATTATAGGCTGAGCCACCGAGCCCGGCTGCAAGTGCACTTTAAAAATATATATATTTCAGAGATTTTAATGAAATGAAAAACCTGTCTGATGGTGGTACACTCAGTTCATGTCTTGTTGGATGTTTTGTTCATTTTTAGAATAGGTTAAAACGAAATGCCATCACTTCTGTATACTTGTGGGGCTGCCTACTAACTTAGTTATCTCTAGAATACTGTGAGTGGTGAGAAACTCAGCCTTAGTTCTTTATGTCCACCCTATCTTGATTTTTACTAGTTTGCTCATCAGATCTGATTTCCAGTTACATCTGACTGTTTATGAAGCTCATTCCCTCTGAAAGGGTAGCCTTTTCCCTAGTTTTAAACTACAGTTTCTGTGGACATATCCAAAAGAAATGTTAAATGTTTTGAGAATAGTAGTGTAATTAAACAAATATCATTCATCTGAGTCACTATGCTACTGAGGTTGGGGTAGAAAGCTTTGTTTTTAACAGCCACATAAAAACACAGGCTAAGCTGAGGAGTTCATTTTTATTGCTAATGCCAGGTAGAGGGGGTTTTCTTTCTCCTCTGTGAAAACAAATACTTAAGAATCTTTACCTTTTTCTGATATAGGTCTGGGCTAATTAAGGGATGGATAATGATTCAGAAAACTTTATCTTTCTTTGTCTTCTGGAATTCCAAGCAATATAGAGACTATATGATAGTGAGGTAGCCAAGTTGTGTAATGGAATCTGTGCATGGCCATCAGACCACTTATAGTTCAGTCGCAGGGCTACTTTCCCAGACTTTATAAATTGGACCTCTGAAGGGAGCTTAGAAATGTGCATTTCAAACAGGTTTCTGGTGATGTGGATATTTAGAACTAAAAAGGATGTCTAAGCAACATTCCCCTGCCCACTTGAGCAGTAAAATATATGCAGAGGGAGTACGATTATTGTAAGAACATGTTTTTTCATTGTGTGACATCTATACCTCTTTATGCCTCTAATAAATAATATGGGCACTCAGGAGTTCCCATTTTATATTGTACAAATTGCTTCATCTCAAATTTGTTCTGACATTTTAGGACCTGATGTTGTCGTTAAACGACAAGAGGCTTTAGCAGCTGCACGTATGAAAATGCAAGAAGAACTAAATGCACAAGTTGAAAAGCATAAGGAAAAGCTAAGACAGGTATGAACTGGTTTTATTTTGAATATGTATGTAGTCTTTTTTTTTTTTTTTTTAAGTTGGAGTCTCACTCTGTCACCCAGAC